TCTTTGTGGGAAAGCCTAGGAGGAAGACTCACCTGAAGAAGCCTTTGCAGCCTTCACAGGTCATAGCATTGAAGTGAAAGCCCGTGGCTCGGTCTCCACATACTCCGCAGATTCGGGGCACGTTCCGGTCAAAGTCGCCAGGGTCAGGCAGGGAAGTGCTGGCTGCCATCGCCTCCATCCCTGTAAGTACAGCAGGTAGGCTAGGGCCAGAGCCAGAGTCAGTGCCAGGGCAGGCCTGGCTAGCAGCCTTGCATCACCATACCTACCCTCCTGGCAACATACATACACACTGGGCAGCTCCCCAGGACCCAGGCTTGAGCATGGTTTCTTTGGAGACCTAATCACATGGCTCTCCCTACCCCGGCAAGCTCATAGTATGGTTTGGGCTCAAAGTGCCTGGGTCAAATGCTGCATGTGCCAGGCTACTTTGGATGAGGTGTTTAGTCTTCATGTATATGTACACCCACCGTCCTTGTCTAAAGAGGCATTTTACTTCATGGAGATTCAATGAATCAGCATAGGCATACCACTGGCACCAGCTCCACCTCAGCAGCATACACGAGCCAGTCAGAGGCCTCTATCTTACCCAGTTCCCCCTCCAACAGCCTCAGCACTTCACATGCAGAGATAAGCAAATTCTTCACTTCTTGAAGGTGAGGGCAATGGAGGATTCCAATGCCCAAACCAAGGCCCAACTCCTCATAGCATATAGCTTTGGACTAAGAGGCCTGGTGTCTTGGTACCAAGGTAATTGAAATCTCTCTCTGTCTCTTTCGGTAATATTTAACACATTATTTTGAACAGCCTTCTGAGAAATATGAGTCATATACAATTAAAACTAGTTTTGGTTTCAGAGATTTTTGTTTTGAGAGTTTTTTTTTTTTTTTTTTTGCTATAGGGCGCGTGTACTTGCCAGAAAGACAGAGACAGACAGAGGGACAGAAAGCGAGAAATCAACCCTCCCCCCCCAGGGGGGATGGCCATGCTGTAATCCCTTCTCCTCCATTCTCCTCTCGGGATCTTGGGCACGCACGCACACGTGCCCAGCGTGAGTTTAAGCCACTGGGTCTGGGACTTGAACCGCAGTCGACTACATGGGAATCCAGCGACATAGCTATTACGCTAAGTGCTAGTCCCCAGAGATGGATTTTATAAATAGGCATTGTCATCTGGAAATGGATTTCCCATTTGAGGAAAAGGGGGAAAGAGACAGAGAGAACAATGTGTACCAGCTTTGGGAAGCTCTTCTCAGGAGGCAGAGGATGTGATTCTTTCATTAGGCAAATTAGGCCCTTGGCTGTGCCGGGCTCTGACCCTAGCCATTGCCAGGCACAGAGCTGATTCCAGGATGCCTAGGCCTCTCAAAAATGCTCCAGGCCCTGCCGTCTGCCAGTTGTCCCAGTTTCATCTGAGTCATCACAAGGGTCACTACAGATTAAGTGGTCCTTTGACCTCAGATAAGAGAGTCCCTCAGGCCAGAGGAAAATAAAGTCAGGAATAAGGGAAAAGCATTCCCCACCTCCACCTTAGAGAGCCATTTCCTCCCACCCCTCAGTGAGAGAGGTAGATTGTGGAGGGGCTCTTGAAAGGCCTTGAGCTTCTCTTCAATGACTAGGTCTCTGACCTTTGAGCCAAGGTTTGGAAGATCAGAACTCATTATTTCATTTTGTCTCCATACCACTCCTATGATGTAAGTGCTGCTATTATCACCCCCTTTATAAACAAGGCCCAGAGAATCCCAAACTATTGCAAAATGCACAAAAAGAACATTTTTTTTAAAGTTGTACAAGAAGGGAAGGAAATGGGGCAAACAAGTGAGAATACAGCATTGTTAGTCCCAAAGGGATAGAAGGGATCCCAATCATGGGCAGACAGAGATCCCCTAATCTTCTCTTTCAGCTTTTCCTTTTCTAGGAATTTTAGTGTAATAATAGTGACACTATTGCTCATCCCTTTGACAGCTAGATTTATACTTGTTAAACAACAATGTTTAGGTAGATACAGATAAAGAGCAACACTTAAAACAAGAACAAAGGAATAGATTAACAGAAACCTGGGGAGATGAAACTTCAGAGGGGCATGCAGAGACATTAAGTAGTAGCAATATTCCAGTTTTTCGAGTGAGAGGTATATGGTATCTTATTATTATTGAAACACTATGAATATGTTGTATATGCCCTTCTATACATGGGGAAAGTTTCATAACTTCGAAATAAGAGAAAAAAATCTCTATGGCTTTATCAACATTGTCCCTGTAGACCATCCCAAGTCCAAGCTGACTCCTACAGGTTTCTAGAACACACAACACATCCACAATGTGGCAGAATCCCAGAGGCCCAATACCATTGTGGGGTAATAGGAGAAACTGTCCAGGATGCCTGTGGTTTAACCCAGGGTTGGCCAAGAGGTTATAGCTTTGAGTCATCACAATGTTGCTACAGAGTCTGGATCCAGGCTTCCAAACATCCAGTGGATTTGGAGGAAATAAGATAACTCAAATGGGGAGTGAGAGGGCATATTGTCAAATCAGTCCAAAAAATGTTCAGTGTTCCACATCACAAGGGTTGATGTGCAGATATTATGACGCAAGTAAGCTGTAACGCCATAGTACTGCAGCATGGCAGCAGTGTGGTCCTTGAAGCCAGGAAGTCTCCCCAGCCTGAGGGTGAGGGCCTAGGCACTGGGATAGGCTGCACAGAAAGGCTGGACCCATCAGCCAGCAAGCAGGACCACTTCCTGTGAGCTGAGAGAAAACCCAACCCTCAGGCTTGGTTTGAGGTTATTTCTTACTACCAAGAAGCCAGCACCCAGGATCTCCAGATGTGGAGAGAGACCCAGAACTCTGTGGCCTAAGAGTTAAAAGTCCCAGGAATGAAAGGTAGAGACTGTGCAGAGCAGGAGAGACAAAGAGGAGAGGGTGCTGGATGGTAAACAGAAACTCTGCAGACAGCTCACTGCGGTCCTGGCCAGGAATCAGCAAGTTGCTCCCTCTTGAGTCTCTCTTTGAGCACCTATGCCCACTCTGATATGCCTGTGGGTCTCAGCTGAATATTCTGCTGACCTGGGACCCACTTTGGCAAAGCCTCAGGGGGTATTCTCTCCCTTCCCCTGCCCACTGCCTCCCTATGACCCGCCCCTGTCTCTTGAAAACAGACCTTTAAGGAGTTTGTGATGAGGAAATACTTACCTGAAGGAGCACGGAGCAGGTAAGTGGAACCCAAACGTGCTCTTCTATGAGGTCTGACTCTTTAGCCCAAAGAGATTCTGAAAAGAAGAAGGGGAAACATTGATCTAAAACCTCGGGCTGTGCTGTCTGCCAGTCCTCCAGGGAGCCCAACACACTGTACAAGAGGCTCTTTCCAGGGACTTTGGTCCCCAGATCAGGGTCTGAAAACGGAAGTAACTCTTTGGGGAAACGCATGCCATGTCATCGCTGGCAGGGTGTGGGGGTGGGAGCTGGGCAGCAGCCAGGATGGCCCTCTCTTGAGGCGTGAGTAGCAAGAAGCAGTGAGAAGGGGCGGGAGGCAGCCATGAGTTGGGAGACCCAGGAAGCCTCCCTGTGTAGGCTCCCTCCTCTTCTCAGCCAGGGTGTCAGGAGAGGGACCCCACCTCCCACAGCCCCTGCCCCAGATCGCAGGGATACTGGAGACTCAGAGCCATGTGCTGAGGGTGAGCCCGAGATCACCACCCCAGGTGGGACTGCAGAGGAGCCTGAGGGCTGGGATGGGGCCCTGGCCTCTTGGGACAGCATCAAAGGCAGGTGTCTGCCTCCTGTCTGTGGAGACGGGGTGTAGGCGGAGCAGGTGCTGCAGGGGTTAAATACAGCAACATGCTGCTTTCAAACAGGATGTTTTCTGCCGCTTTTAGCTCTTTCCCAGACATGCTCAACACCCCCGCCTCAGCGCAGGCTGAAGTAAGGTTGGTTCCAGAGCCCAGACTCTGGGTCTTAATGGCACAACGGGTCACCATGGTGGGCTGGCAGAATTTCACCCCTCTCACTTCTACCCACGCCCAGTCCTGCTTGTGCACCTGAGAAAGACGGACAGAAACACGCACACACTTTCTCCCTGCCCTGATGCCAACAGGAGGTGACTGGGGAAGTGAAGAGATATGCCACTACCTTATCCGGGACCCTGGCAAAGACCTTTAAGCCAAACCCCAGATGGGGAAGTCCAGACCCTTAGCTTCTGTTTCTTATCAGAGCCCTCTACCTCCTAGTGGCCTCACTCAGCAGGGAAGGACAGAGCCCAAGGGACTTCCAAGACCCGGGCCCAGGCTACAGCTGCCAGCCCACTGAGCCTGTGTGCCCCCCTCGGATACCGCCAGCCCTGGGGAACTGTTTTCCAAGGAAAATACCAGTGGACAATGAGCTGAGATAACCAGGACTGGGTCAGCCACGCCCAGGGACCATGGGTAGAGGAAGGTGAACCTGCTCGGGACAGAGGTGCTGCCCCATCCCCACTCTAGGCTCATCTTTGCTCCGTCTGCTCATACTGCCTGAGGTCCCCAGCCAGCCATGTTCTTCTGGATTCCATCCTATGGCTTTCTTGGTGCCCAGAATGGTAGATGTGAGGTCCCTAGGATGGTAGATGTGAGGACACAGAAAGTGGGTGCAGAAAGGACCACTGCTTTCCTGTCCTCAACCCGGATGTTTCCAGAGGGAGGTCAGAGGCGATATTCAGGTAGACCACAACCCTTGAACTTAAATAAAAAGTTTATGGACATCCACTCCGTGCCAGACCTGCTAAACTCCATACACATTTCCCCATGCAGTCCTCAGGACAGTTCCGGGAGGCAGAGAGCAGTCCCATTTTACAGGTAGCAAAATCTAGTTCAAAGCACTTTGAGTGACCTGCCCAGGGTCCCATGGCTGGGCAAGAGGTTGGGCCAAGGGCCAGATGAGGGCAGCTTGCTTACAGTGCCCGTGTGCTTCCTTTGCTTTCTGCCACCTCTTCTCATTTTGGAAGATGGGAATCAGGGCAGACACCAACTGCTCCACACTGGGCCCTGCTCCAAGCTCGTCACATGTCCTCACTCACTGAACCCTCACGACAGCCTCCTCAGTGGTTTCTGTGACTATCCCTGTCTCGGGCATGGGGAGACTGAGGCGCAAGGAAGAGGCTTGTCTTCGGGATTTGAATATAGGCAGCTTTGCTCTGAGTCTCTGTGCAGCTGCCCCAACCCTGAGCACTGGACACTTCCCCTAAGCTGGAGAGCAATGCAGAGAGCAATCCCCAGGCCGAAAGGGAAGAGCGCTGCAGGAGTCCTCCCCAGGATTCCCAAGCAGGGGATGGCGGGATCTGCGGACTTGCTTTCTGCCTTTCTGCCGGCCAGCCCCTCTCACCCAGGAAAGCCCATTCAACAGCTGAGTGCCTCCTCCCCACACACCTTTTCACTGCTGGATGGTCCTTTTCAGAGAAATTATTCTGGGTTTAGCCTCTAGGTCCCTGTCCAAGTCTATAGGAAAGTGGGGCAAAAACATGGGGTAAAGAAGAGGACAAGTGGAAAAAACATTTAATATCCTCTTTGCCACGTCACACATCCCACTTCACCAGCAGTTCATGTTCTGAGTACATAAAACGTCCCACTGCTTTTGCTGGGGCTGTCCCCAGAGCAACCCCCTCCCAATCCTGCTCTAGAAATATCTAAACCCCTGGCACTGAGCCTCAGAGAAGCAGAGGGAGGAGCTGGTCTTTGCAGAAAGCCCCTGGCTTCCATCCCTCCAGGGTTGCATCCCACATCAAAACCCCTGCCTGACCCTGACCCCAGTCTTGACCTTGCCTTAGCAAGAAATGAGGAGATAACATATTTCCTTCCAGTCACGAAAGCCACAACCTCTGTCTTTCCTACACGTCTGCCTGTCAGCTCACACAACAGACAGGCACACAGCTTCTGTGCAGTGGGCATCCCTGGGCAGTGTCTCCCCAGACAGCCTTATGGGGGGTGGCTACAGGGTATTCTGGGCAGAGCCCTAGGAGACAAAGTTCAAAGCTCCCCTGGGCCCAGTTTAACCCCGCTGCACTGACTGGACCCTCTTCAGGGTCCTGAGGGTGGTAAAGCTGTGACTCTAAGGAGGACCAAGGGGTGGAGAGGTCTGGCCACTCAGGGTTTCTCCAGCTCTGGGAGTGTGCCCCTCCAAGATGGAATTCCCACCATGAGATTCATCCGCTGACCTCTCATGACCAGATGAGCCCAAACAAACATGTCTCAGATGCTCATGAGCAGGAAGGGCCTGAAAGATGTGGCCATACTGTACCCCAGTGGAGAATGGCAGCCAGGGAGAGGAGTCTTCCCTTAGTCAGGTTGGGACTGGGCTAACTATTGACACTGGCTCAAAGCTCCCATTCGTTCTGGAAGGAAGTAGAGTACTAAGTGATCTCCCTTCAGAGGGGGAGAAAATCCTTCTTCCTAAGGTCACACACATGGATTCAGCCACAGGTTGGGCTCTCTCTGGAGTAGGCAGGCCTGTGTGTCTGTCAGCCATACTGCAGTTGTACTTGTGCATACACGCCCTTTCTTTGCTGTTGTTCATTTCATTGTCCTTTTGGCTCTGCCCACAGAGTGCTGAGCATGGTATGACCTACCTAACTTGTGATCTGTCATCTCTTTATTCTAGCACATAAGTTAGCAATATCATGCCAACTAAGGTTATGCTCTTCCCTCCTCCACCATCCCCAACATACACCTTCTTCCTCTGTCTAGACAGTCTCCCCATTAGCTCTCAGAAGTTGAGGAGGAAAGGAGTGAAAATGAGGGAAAGGGGAGCTAGTGTAGGGTATAAATAGAATTTACCCAAACAACTTCTTGCCCTCACTGTCTTCCCAGCTCCTCCATACACATCTATTTTATTTTTTAGATTTTTTCCCCCGTAGGGCACACGTATGCTCCAGAGACACACAGAGAGAAAAAGTGAGAAATCATCCCTGCCCCCATGGGGGATGGTCACACTGCAATCACTTCTCTATTTTCCTCTTGGGATTTTGGGTACACATGCACACATGCCTGGAGTGACTGGATCTGGAACTCAAGCCACACAGTCAGCCATGTGGGATTCAATGCCTTAACCACCATGCAACCTGGCCACATGGCACCTATTTTAAACACGGTTGAGAATGGTTGGAAATTACTCTCTATAAACTGCAATGTCCAAATTAAAACATAATGGCTATCGGTTATCTCAGAAAAATTTCACTCAGATTGGAAGGAACTTAGTACCATTTAGTCCAACTCCAAATCCCTTCTATAATGGAGCTAAGCAGTTTTCTAGTATGTGTTTGAACATTGCTCCTGATGAAGAACTATCTCCCACATAGCCACTCTCTTTGGATGGCTCTGTGCTTACAAAGGATTCATTGTGCACAGGTCAAATAACCTTTGTATCTTTTTTTTTTTTTTTGAGAGGTTTTTGCTTTAGGGCACGTGCGTGCACCAGAAAGAGAGACAGAGACAGAAAGCAAGAAATTACCCCCTGGGGGCATGGCCGCACCGCAATCCCTTCTCCTCCATTCCATTCTCCTCTCAGAATCTTGGGCACATAGGCACATACACCTGGCGTGAGTTTAAGTCACTGGGTCCGGGACTCGAACTGTGGTCCACTACATGGGAGTCCAGCGACACAGCCATTATGCTAACTGCTGGTCCCAACCTTTTTATCTTTTCATTGCTGGTCAAGACCAGTTCTTAAAAAAATAAATAAATAAAAAAGACTAGTTCTTTGCATTTATGCAAAATAAATCCACTAGGCCATACACATAGGGTCTCCAGAGGAGAGTGTGGTGGGACAACCACATTGGGCCCCTGTGAAAATTAGAAGGGCCCACTCCTCATAACACTTCACTGTCATCAGTCAGACAATTGTCATGTAAAACATAAAAATATACAATGGTTGAGACCAGCGGGGCGCAAAGGTTACATCCCTGGACTCCTGTGTAGTTGGCCACGGTTCAAGCCCCGGACATGGTGGCTTAAATCTCACCCTGGGCATGTGTGCGTGTGTGCACAAAATCCAGAGAGGAGACTAGAGGAGAAGGGACTGTGGCATGGCCATCCCCCCCCACCCCAGGGGATGATTTCTTGCTTTCTGTCTCTCTGGTGAGTGCACGCGTTCTATAGCAAAAATCTCTCTTAAAAAATATCTATCTATCTATCTATCTATCTATCTATCTATCTATCTATCTATCATCTATCTATCTACAATGCTTACGTTGTGAATGAGGCAGCAGGTGAGAAACTGAGATGGCCTGATTACATTTCATTGTGATTGA